CCTGTTGCACTTCTGGGTCAGGTACGTTATGCCTTAAAAGAGTTAGATGTAATGATTTGACTCATCAGAATGGATGCGAACAGAACAAGCTTTTAAGTGACGAATCATAAGACCAGACTGTCGTAATAAGAACTAGCTGCTCTTAGCACCAGACTAATATTACTTTAGGCCCCCCTCGTAGTACAGAGTACGTAGTAAAGTACTTTCGAGCGGTTTCAATTAAGGACATGATATTCTTGATCCTCGGCAATGATACAAGCACTGCAATACATGGAACAGCCAAGAGATCCAGACTTACTAAGTCCGCAGCCTGCTGATGGAGGTGAAGTCCAAATTTATGTGTTAGCTGTAGTTTATTGGGATCACAGTAAACTACCAGTACTAGTACCATACTTATGACGGGCCACGGGCCAAGGGTGCTTGGCAATCGGAATGTGGACCACCAGTACCGTCGGGCAGCAAACTTTGAACCCTAGTTCCAAGGTTTGGCATTACTCCGTACTGGTGAATTAATCGGTAGACAACGGTCCATGGACCGGATCACATTGCTCACCTCCTAGTCAACTTCATATTTGCCTGCATTCCTTGTACTCCTGATTTCATTCGGCAACGGACCTCTGAACCAAGAACCAGCATGCCCGATAATTCTGACGCTCGCCGAGCAGATGCGGCTACTGCTACATCACCTGAGGCTGACATGGCCAAGGTGTGTATCTCGTGTATTAGGCCGAGTCTAGTAAGCTGACTTCAGCTCTTATGCATGCAAGGCTTTCCAGGAGCTCGCAAGGTGGATTCCTTGCATCTAATGGTTCTCATCCCTATCATCTGACACAACGCGCTGCAGAGGAGAACAAACAGCTTCAGCACTTGAATCTCGTCTGACCGAAGTTGAGACGAGGATAGATCAGCTGCTAGCAAGCGTTGGGGAAAGCACACATCAAGTAGAGCACCATCATCCAGATCATCTACCGAAGGAGAACGGCAATTCAAGCAAAGATGCAGAGCGGCAATGACCAAGGGCATTCAGCTGTACCGCAAGTTATGAAGCTTCAATGTTCTCTCCATCTGAATGCAAACCTAACCTCTCTATTTGATACTCAAGTCCATTACTCGCTAGCCGACAGACCGCCCGCCCTCGACATCTATGAACCGCTAACATGCTCTGTTAAGGGACAGCTGGCTTTCTGAGCTTGGGCTACTTGCCGATAGCAACACCTATTCTCCACTTTCAAGCAAATCGGTTTTTAAAGGCCACTCGTATTAGGTGAGGATACTCACGCTTCGGCTGTAGACTCGAATATGGACGCAAAGTTAAAGCTACCGTCTACACCCCTCTCAACCACACCCTTCTCAGTCACAATCCCATCGATGAGAGCCGCTGGTGTTATATCAAATGCAGGGTTCCATACATCTATATCGGCCGCTGCTACGCTGATGACTTCTGCATCTTCATCCATTAAGACTTGACCCTTGGCATCAACTTTAGCACCCTTCATTCTGGTGATCTCCTCCTTAGCACGCTCCTCAATCACGATGTCTGTTCCAGTTGCTGTCCTCAGATCAATTGTCGTCCTTGGAGCAGCAACCAGAAATTTCACTCCGTGGTGCCGGGCAAGCACTGCAAGAGAATATGTGCCGATCTTGTTCGCAGTGTCTCCGTTCGCGGCAACTCTATCGGCACCAACGATTATGGCTGCGAGTGAATCCCCTTCTCGTGCCAGTAGACTTGCAGCCATTGAATCTGTGATCAACGTCGCAGGGATCTTATCGTGGACCAACTCGTACGCTGTCAAACGTGAACCCTGGTTATATGGTCGAGTCTCCGAGCAGAAGGTGTGAGTGAGCATGTTTTCAGCATGTAAAGATCGGATCACGCCAAGCGCCGTACCATAACCAGCTGTTGCAAGTGATCTAGAACTCAATAATTAGCCGAGACGAGCAGCACAATCTGCTACGTACTCACCCAGTGTTGCAATGAGTCATCACCTTCAAGTCTCCCTCGCCCACGCCTCGCCAACTTCCTGCTTTGGTGTTCTCTCTGATCCATTGTGCGCCATGCTTTCCGATGGCCTCGTTGTCCTTCACGTCATCAATCAACATCTTCTCTGCCGCTGTGATGTAGGAGTTGGCCACGGCATGGCCGTCCGCTCCGTCCATTTTCTCAGCCTTCTCCGCAATAGCCTTCAACTTCCCAACTGCATCTGCTAGATTGACCGCCGTTGGCCGGCTGGACTTCAAATACTCCAAGTTGTTCCAGATGAACTCTCGAACTGAGTGGGGTGCCTCGGCCTTTGTCTTGGTGGTTCTTGCACGACTCAACTCTACTGCCAAGCTTAACGCCGCCACTATTGCAATTGCTGGAGCACCGCGAACTTTCATTTGCTTGATAGCGTTCCAAGCGTCCTCGCAGGAGTCAACAGACAAGTAGATTGAGCGATGTGGCAGAGTGAGCTGGTCGAGGATCTCCAGTGAAGCAGCCGACGATTCCCTGGCGGGATAGTATCTGATGGCTTGTAATACCATCTTGTCCAAAAGCTTCACATGGCTTTGCTTCAATTAGTCTGTGCACAGTGAACAAAAGGGAATTGCTCCATTTATATGAGCTCTGGCATCAAGTGTTTGCTGGGAGCATCAACGCCCCTGCCTTGCGGAAAGAATTCTTTAGGCTACGCAGTGAACTTTTCTCCAACCATGACGCACCGAGTGGGGTCGGACCGTTTATACGGAGTCCACAGATTCTTGTACTACCTGAATCACTTCGAGGAATGGTCCGGCCAACTGCGCTGTGAATGGGAATTTTATTTTGCACAGCACCTTTATCCAAATCATATCGCCTGATCTTGCCTCCATTACCCGCTCAGGTTGCCAAACATGAGTCGAACAACGATCAGCGAGGTTGCTCTCAACGGCTTCGCAGCTTCCTCTAGTTATGATAAACATCGACCTTCCTACCCAGCTGATGCCGTTGATCAGCTGCTATATGCGCTCAAAGTCGCTGGAGTTCAAGGTGCACGTGTCGCCGATTTGGCCGCAGGCACAGGCAAGTTCACAGAACTCCTGGCTGCAAGGCCGGAGCAATACTCGATTGTCGCTATTGAACCTCACGAAGATATGAAAGCAGAGCTCGAGCGAAAGAGCTTGAAAGGGGTGAATGTGGTCATGGGGACAGCAGATGATATGTCGGAGATAGCAGATGCAAGCTTTGATGCATTGATCGCATCGCAGGTTAGATCCCAATCCTTCACAGTGCAGAGAATGGTTCTAACCGGTAGGTCAGTCGTTTCATTGGTGACTTTGCCGCTGCATTCCATCGTGAATGTTGTCCGGGCTAAGTCGCTTGTATCAAGGTTTGCCAATCGGCCTGCTCTTGAGGAAATTCACCGAGTTCTGAAGCCGACACGCCTGCTCGGTATGATCTGGAATATTGAAGACTGTAAGGCGCACATGGAGCCCTTTCACGCAAGATAGGGGTCGTCTCTAATAACAGTGTTGCAGACAATGCGCCTCGTGACTGGGATATGACAACGAGTTGGGAATCACAAATCCGCAATCTGACCTGGACCCTCAATGATGACCTTCCTCGCTTTCGACATGAGAAATGGCGAAAGTGCTTCGATGACCAGCTTGCTAGCACTCCTTTGAGCCTGGCTTTTGCGGACCCGCTATTCAGTCTACCGCTTGGTGAAGGCAGTGTCAAATTCGAAACGTGGCTGAACAAAGACGACATCTGGAAGAGATACAAGACCTTAAGTCAAATCGCGGTTCTGGGGAGAGAGAAGCTCGAGGTAAATTGCGACGCATGCAGAATGAATGTTACCACTGATCCATAGTAGGAGGTCAAAAAGGAGTTCTTCAATGCCATCGACCACAAAGATGTCGTGCAGGATGAACAAGGACGAGTCGCCGTGCACGGACACACATTTTTCGCGTGGACATCTAGCATCCCAGAGCAGCCGCTGCGAAATGGTGGTTGACTCCAATAACTCATCACAGGATCATTGACCTCTTTCGCTCCTCCCCAAGCCTGACAACCTCCCGACTCTCCCCCAACTAGACATTCCAAGCCCGGTTAGCGGGCCATCAGTCCATACCTTCAAATATCTGCTGTACCATAGCCCCCTGAAACTTCTGCAAACAGCGGCAGCTCTTACTCCTGCCAGCTGGCGAGGCGAAGCCCCATGCAGATCACCATGAACTATGGCGCTTGCTCAGCTCCGGAAGTCTCATGCTTCGCAATCCCTCCTTTTGCAATCACTCGGAGGAGATATAGAGTACTTCCACACTGTCAGCTTCTGAAATAACCATTGAGAACATCGGTTGCCGTGGTTTGCCCAGAGCAGCTTGTGTAAACTAACCATTGTTCCCTCTAACGAAAGCATCCCCATAAGTCCTTCTGAGCTGCCCGTTAACATATTCCTGACACTTCTCGAGCGCGATGTTCATGTATCCATCGACCGACTGAAGTTCACCTGTCTGGTCGATTAGATCTGGTATTTCGTTGATGGAACGGGACTACCTTTGTAGATGATGCCTGAATTTAGCTTGACCGTCACGGGAACACCAATGATCTCGCTGAGAAAGGCAGAGGGGTCTTTACCATCTGGAGGGGCGGATGTATTCGCATTGGTATGGTTTTCCATGATCTGATAATTATTCAGATATGAACATTTGGTATGTGAGATCTCTACTGCATGCGACTCGGCCTTTGTACGTATTAGGACATGGCATTGCTTGGCAAGCTGTCCCCTCCTGCATGGGCTGCTTGCGGTCAATTCCTTGACTACTAGCGGAGGATCTTCTAGCGTTGATTGTTCACCGGCATGTCTGACATTCAAAACTTCCTGAGGTACCGATAGCATTTCTCTCGGAAATATGTAATAAGAGAATGGCAACAGCCCCTGCACCTTCGATCAAGAAGTCGTTCTTCAAGAAACCAAACTGGGCCACAATTGCGCCCCCAACTGAATCGAGGGACTTCTTTAGACATTCAGATACTGTCTACGATAGCATTTTGAGGGAAAAGGAGAAGCGGAGGGAACGACATGCTCAACAGAAGCAGGGTACAGCTGGCTTAGATGATGAAGACTCGGATAGGGAGAGCAAAAGAAGAAGAATCTTAATCGACGAGGAAAACCAGAAGGAAGATAGCTGTAGTGGCTCAGAAACAGCAAGCATTCGAAGGGGGGAACAAGACACGGCACCAACTGGGCACCTTAAGACTCGAGCGAAGTCCCCTGCGAGACGCGGGCCTATTCAAGCCGGAAGAGCAAGTCCTACCTATCTCGAATCTTCGCTAAATCCTACTACCCTATTACACTCTAATGTCATCGAACTCGACTCTCACAAAGAGAACAACCAGCATCAACCAATCGGACCTGAAAGAAAGGTCCAGGCTAGACTATCGGACGAAGAGGCCTCGGAAGAGGAAGATGAATATGTCCTCGCACTCAAACAAAAAGCTCGGGAGAAAGCACGCCTAAAGAAGCTAGGCATTGAGCCTGCTCGTAAACAAGAACCGGCGTTACAGGCTTTAGAAGCCCAACAGCAACGGCATTCACCCTCTGGCGACGAACCCACATTCTTTCCACAACGCGCGGCACCCACTCCACCTTCCCAGAGAGACGAAACGATCGTGCAAATATTCATCGATACCAAAATTCCAAACGCAAAGCCACTGATAGTCAATCGGAAAGTCTCTCAACCTATGCAGCAAGTCAGAGCCGTATGGTGCGCGCGGCAGAACTTCACAGACGACATAACAGCCCAAGTCATCTTCACATGGCGAGGGAAGCGGCTCTACGACACAACCACCAGTACGCACTTGCTGAATGTCTTGAAGATGGAGCGGGCTCGTCAATTAGGCGGATTGGCAGGCGATGACGACGAAGATCCGAGTAACGGAAGGATAGAGGTGGTAGCTATGACGAAGGACATGTATGAACAAAAACAGAATAAGAACGACGCCGAAGCAGACGCAAATGGTATCACAGACCCAACCCTCCAGGATCGCCAGTCGCAAGCGAGGTCAGCGACACCCGAACCAAAATACACAATCGTGATGAACGCTCAAGGACTGGAGCCGTTACAGCTCAAAGTCAGGCCGAGCACGCCGGTCGCGAAGATGATGGCTGGCTTCAAAAAGTTACGCCACATAGATCCGGCGAAAACCTGTTGGTTGATTCATGACGGAGACAGATTGGAGCCGGAGTCGTTGGTGAGGGACACAGAGATAGAGGATGGCGATGCTGTGGAGGTACATGTCAGGTGATATGGAGCACTCCGCATCTTGTTCGTAGTATTAAATTCATCATTCGACAGTAATTACAGTGAAAAAAATCTCATGACCAGCAGGGAGGAAAGCCATCGTTGCTACTGTCCACATGTCTCTCAGCCTGAACCCGTCCCTGTACCTCTAGGAAAATGTCTCAAGGACTACCTCTATCTATCCACCTTACTTTCCTTCCAGTAGGAGATAGCCATGGCCAACAATGTATGCACATCTCTCGCCCTGGAACCCCCAGTATCTCTTCAAAGTGGCCATGCTGTGAATACTTCCGCATCAAATACAGATATAAGATCCTATCCCAGGCCCACTCCGACATGTCCCCCGAGCATCTCAGGATAGGTTCTTGCCACCATCTACTCGCTGCTCTCCTGCGCTTTCCCCTTCCCATACACCAATAAAGCCCCTGATTGTTTGTTGTGACTGAGATATGCAGATGGGGAGGGTGCTGGGGATATTCGGGTGCAGGCAGTCATGGGACGTCTATCAATGCTCCAGCTGCTACGGGGGTTTGATCCGCTTTCTCCTCCACCCTACTCTACGGCACTGCATTTCTAGTGGATCTGGTTCCGAAGGATGCAAAACGTTCGATCGGTGGTCTACGGAAGCAAGTGAGGATTGAAGTTCAAGGCTTTCGAGACCGTCGTGGCAAGAACTGAAGACGATTGTCACCAGAGCATACATAGCGATCCTAGGATAATAAGCTCAGCTGATGCCTAGAGGTAAGCCAGTATGACGACTCTCTGGGTGAGGCTTGATGTCGATGTCGTGAGTCTATTCGTTGTCATGCGCTCTCTCCATCCTGTGATCTTCCAACGTACATGCCCTTCTGCCATCCTCGGTGTTCCATCGAACGTCCTTCCGCGACCACAGCGCAACGACATGCTCTTCAACAGCAACAACCATAACTCATTAAAACACCAGCGCGGCTCCTTTGGTCTTCTTGTCCCCACTGTAGTGTAATCAGTACCTGGATATACTAGAGGGAAAATGACATACCCGAGCTCGAAGTGTTTGCATCGCTTCAGCGACAGCTGTGACTTTCTCTTGCATTTTACACATTCGAGTCGGAGCACAACCTTTTTTGTTGTCTTGGCTTTCTTGTGAAATACTGGCTTCGTTTGACCTCCATACCCGGATTGTTTTCGGTCGTATCGCCGCTTTCCTTGCGCGAACGTGGACGCCTGCAGCAGTACCTCCTGTTAGAAATATTCTGTAGCAGACGCTTTAGACTGCTCACCTTGCCGGCTTTGTACTGAGTCACCTTGTGCTGCGTATGTTTTCCACACTCCTAAGTCTCCTCTCAGTCTTAGGTTACGACAGAACATAATAACTCTTGCTCCTCACCTTGGAGCCACAGAAAGTATTCCTATTTTTTGGAACGTTCACCATGGTTTCGGATGGAACGAGGTCGAGAAATACTGGGAATCGTCGGGGTGGATGGAGGTGGACGGATGGTAAATAGATGGTGGATGAACGGTAGTTGTGTGCGCTCGAATTGCAGTGGGCTACATATTAAATCTTGGCATTTTCCTAAAGTGCTACCATAAATTCTGTAGAATTCTTGGCATGTTCAGAAAATCACTTTTCTATCCGCAGATGTTTCAAATCATCCCTCTCTCCTTACAAATAGAGTGTGTTATGGAAAATTTAGTATTGTTTGATTCTCCTCTTCCTGAAGAATATCAGACTCAATTTTTTAGACGGAATATTATAAATAGCATGTATAAAAGTAGAAAATCTACTTCTGTTCATTTTGAAGTAAACTTTGAAATTTAAGTGCTGAGGTTCAAGTAGCTTGGCATTTAAACAGCAAATTTTCAAAAACAAGATATTTTACTAGTTCATATCATCTATAAAGTGAGAAATAGTTACAGACATTACTTGACTTCATTTACTAGTAACTTATATAGTGGAAAAGTCATAACATATCCTGTGGTGGTCAAATATTGTAAAATCAGAGGAAGAAAAATTTGAAGTTCTTGTAATGCCAAGAATTCTACAGAATTTATGGTAGCACTGTACTTCTAAACCTGGGTAGTACTTTATCGCACTACTAGTACAGCAGGTAGCCTTTGAAGCTCCATGCTACTTCACTATTCACAATGAAATTGCTGACGGTCAACTTCCTGACCTGCGCCGTCAAATCCTGCAAGTCTTCCCTCTCCTCGTCCTCAGAACCGCTTTCTGACGAGCTCTCACCCTTCCCACTGCACTTTCGGAACGCAGTCCTAGAACGCACAGAAATCAACTACAATCCGCGCTTCATTCAGAACATTCTACCGAGAGTCAACTGGGAGGCAATGAGAATTACAGCGAAAGAGCTGGGGCTGTTGGGTCTACTTCCCGACAACAACCCTGCGGATGACCCGGCCTGGAATACCGAAAATGACGCGGAAGCCGATGTCAACAATGGTGATGCAGGGGTTGAGGGTGCTGCTGTGGCCGAAGAGCAGGATGAGCACATGGAAATAGACTCGACTCCTCAGAAAGGTGCAGACGTAAAGGAGGAGGACATAGACAAGAAAGGGAAGGTACTCAGACAGCTACACACTCTTCTCCTGGAGACGAGCGTATCAGAGGGAAATTTGGCATGTGGGAAATGTGGATTCGAATATCCGATCAAGGAGGGTGTAGGGAATTTTCTGCTGCCGGCACATCTAGGTAAGCTATTTTTCTCCCTTCTCTTCACATCTATTGCTTTCTTGCTCAAACCGGGCTGTTCGGCAATGAAAAGGAATGGTACTGGAAGTGGCAGCCAGCCCGCCAGATTGAAAAGCGGGAAGGCTGACCTATGTCTGTTCCTCCATAGTGTGACCTCTCATTTATCCAGCCAAACAGCATTCACGCCAGCGACTATACGATCAGAATAGGCCATGGAGAAGATATACGGATAAGGTACTAGGTGCAGAGTTCTGTTACGCGAACCCACCCACACGCATCCCCCCTTGGACAGGAAAACGCATAGCAAAGCTAGGCGGTTCACCCGCCTGTGGCCCATGCAATTGAATGCCAGGAAAGCGGTAGGCTTGGCGGAAGATAAAAAGAGTCGCAGCCCTACTACTACTTAGTACCTATGGTTCCGCGTAACGAATCGCTTACTATTGACACAACCGGTAGGTCAGAGCCCGGAAAGGCGAAGTAGAAGGGTGCCCATAGCATAAGCGATAATAGAGTTGAACGTAAGGAGAGGAATCAAGAGAGTCGGAGGGCCAGAGAGTGTGGTAGTTGAGTGAAAACAGCAACCGTCCGCAGCATCTATACTGCTTAATCAAGAAGTGAAAAACGGAAAAGGAACATGCAGGCTTGAGGCCGCCAGATATTATGCTTTATTCATATCTGGAAGCAGACATTGTGAGTCGCGAGCAGCGGCAACACCCACGATATCTGGAGTATTGTGCATGATTTAGGCCCTCCTCCATGGCCTATGCAACATCCGTCATGTATATTTTCAACCTCCCCGATTCGTGTAATGCCCATCAATTCATTTTCTCCCTTCCCCCAAACCAGCAAAGAAGGCCTTTGCACCATCGAATGTCAGGTCGCAGCTTTCCTATCCATGTCCCAGTCCACACTACAGAGCCTGATTACGCTACTATCTGAGAAGGGGTAGCTAAAGCCAGCCACCCAACCATTAGTATGCATTGGCATGCCCACCAGGAGCACAAGAAGACCACCATATCCTCTAAGGCCATGTCAACGCCGCCCCTACGCCATCCCGAGTTGAGATGCGGTGCATACGGTGAAAAGCGAAAGGTCGTTGAAGTGCAAGTACAACGCCAGGAAAGATGCCCGAACAATGCAATAACCTCCAAGATGCGCTTTTTGGCATACCTCGTACGGAAAGGTTTTTAGTTGAGGAAGCCTTTACAACCTGTCGAACCGCAGAGACAAGGAATCCGGTCTTCGCTGCCCATTTCACGCTCGAATTTGTAGTCGTACGTGAGTTCTTCATCTGCAAGCAAAATTGTTAGCAAGGGGGTTTCAATGATAAAAGGTTCACCCACCTCTAGCAATATCCCGCAAAGCGTAGATGACGATTCTCTTGTCGCCATCTACACGAATAATCTTTGCGGTACAATTCGGCATGCAGCTATGATTGATGAACCGGGCGATTCCCCCTTTCTTGGTCGCGTCAACCACATGACCTTCATCGATGCGAAAGAGGTACGAGCTACCAATGCCGCTCTTTTCGTATCTTCTTTCTCGCAGATCGGCTATCTCCTGTCGTACCTTCTCACCCACATATTCGATGATCATTTCATTGGCTGCAATGGGTTCGAGGGAGTAAAGACCCCAGTTGTGGATGGCGGATCGAGCGAATTTGACGGGCTTCTTGCGCTTCTTGAGCTGGTTGAATCGAAGAACGTCAGCATCCCCAGTCAACGCACTTAAGAGCTCCTTCTGCATGTTGACCTCTGCCATCTGCCTTCGGTCCTCTGCACGCCGACCACGAGTATTCGTTTTCGGTGCAGTTTTAGCGGCTTCAGTGACTTTACTGGAAATCTTCGGGTCGTCCTTCGCATCAGCTTCACGTTTCTCGCGCGCCTTTTGGACCTTGATGCGATGGGGAAGGTATTTCGACTTCTCGGATTCGAGAATCCTCCTAATGGGCTCTGTTCGGGCGGAACCTGTTGGGTTTGGCACATAGTAACCTTGTATCTGAGCAGAGGAATGCGAGTCTCCTGTCCTGGATTGGTTCATGGACTTGATGTCTCTCTGCTTGCAAGCCCAGGCCAAGAGGTTTCCAGCGGACGGAATAATCTGCGATCCAGCGATCTGGTTCAGCGTCTCAACATCCTCAGCGTCCTTGATTGATGTTTGCCAGCCATCTACGTCAAGGACAAGATCGTCATCATCTTGGACGGTTGCTTGTGCTTCCAAAGTAGACACACCCCATTCCACTTCAGGACGCCTCTCCCCAGGTTCGATGCGGGTCTCAATTTCGGCCTCCTCTTCTGCGGCTTCCAGAACTCCGTCAACCACCTCAGCTGCCTCAGCCTCCATTTCTGCCCGACGCGCTTCGCGTTCCTCCCATATCTGCTTTTTAGTCTTCTTTTTAGGCTTCGGCTTCTTGATTTTCTGAATAGGTGCATCTGAATCAAAATCCGGCGTCGCTTCGACAGCTACGGGAATATCCAACAATTTCGCGTCTGTCGAGTCCTCGCCATCCTCTCCGACTTTAGCAAGGCCAAAGAGCTCATCGTCTTCTTTCAGCCTCTTCCTCATTTCCAATTCTTTCACCAGGCGTTTCCGCTTCTTTGAGGAGGGCGACATTTCATAAATGTTTCGCTCCAGCTTCGATATAACCAAGTTCTCGGCTACCGATTTCTCCTGTTCGTCTTTGACAAAGTCGTCACCCATTTCGGATTCGTCTCGAGCATGTTGTCGCCTTTTCGTAGCTTTCTGTAGTAGGTCATCTTCGTCATCAGAAACAGATGTCATGCTCATGCGACTCATGGGTCTGCTCTCTTGTTCTTCAGTATCGCGGGTTATGGAAGTACGACGCTCATCATCAGAGTCCTCGTCATCCTGGAATTGCTCTAGTTGGTGGAAGAGTGGTCGGACAGCAGCTTTTGGTACAGGTCTTCTTCTCCTCTCATCCCGAAACCCTACCATGGACCGATCAAGACCAGCCTTTTTCTGAATTCTTGGTAGCGATAGAATATTGACGCTAGATTGACCGAGAGGGCGTCGTCCACCGAAGATGTCTAATCGCGAATCCGGAGTGCCCACGGAGGAATTGTCTTCAAAACGATTTCCGCCCTGGAGTTTTCTGCCTTGAGGATCCTCAATGCCTAGTCTCTGGCGCTTCTCGACGTGCTTTTCAGGATCAAGATATTCGTAGAGAGTGGGAGCTGCAATTCTAGACCTAACATCTTCTAGCAGTTTATCACGAATTTCTCGGATGACAAGCTGCAAGACCGCCCGGGAAGGATCCAGATCTCTGGCTCTTTGACGTTTCTCTTCCTCAAGATCTAAGTCATGCTCTCTTTTCATCCGAATGTTCACCTCCTTTCGTTCCTTCTCCAACGCCCTTTGCGGACTAGGGCTTCGCTCGTAATTCGGGTTCCCGTGTTTCTGGCATTCCATATTCATCACATATGTGAAAAGCGGCGTCAGATGGCATTGAGAGGCGCATCTTTGTGCTTCAGATTCGCCACGGGTTGAGCTTTCAAAGACTATGTAGTAACCCGTCTTATCGCACCGTATTTCCTTCCAGTCATACATCTTCAATCTCTTTTGTAGATGCGGTATGGTTGTGCTCATTACGGGAACGTAGCAGTGAGCGATAAATATGTATGGCAGTCGCTTGATTTGATCTAGTATAGGCGTCTCTTCGACAAGGGAAGGAACAGGAGGATTGATCGACGGTCGTATTACAATAGGAGGCTTGGGCGTAGGAGCTAAAGATATAGCTGTTATAGGCAAAGGACGCTGCTGAAATGTCCTCCCGGATGGACCTTTCGGTGCAGTGGGTGGTGGCACATTGTTCCTCAAGTGGATATCTGGTTTAGGAGGTTCGGGAAGTGTGACCTCTTTCCGCAGGTTTGCTATGGTCTGCTCGACCATCTTCCTAATCACCAGTCCTTCCCGATCAACTGCGACACGGATTGCGTTCAAACCGACTCTGAGACCTTTTTTGCCCTCCATGTAAGCTCTTTTAGTTGCGGAAATGGCGGATACAGGCGAGCCACCACGGAAAGACCTTGAATCTTTGTATCGAATACCACATATACCCAGAAACCTGCCGGTGGTCGGATCTGTCCTGTTGTTGACTTCCGCAATGTCCCCATAACTTGAGAAAAGCGCTGTGAGCTGCGAAAGTGGTGCCATAGGATCGAAGCCGGTTACGACGATATTTGTAGGGGGCCCTGGACCAACTGAAGTGGCCGCATCATAAGGCCATGCTCGTAAGGAGTAAGGCGCAGGTCGTAGTTTTGATTTCTGCTTTGCCCCTCCACCGCGCGCGTAATTTGCAATCTCAAGTCGAGGATCCTTTGGAGGAATCTCACCTGCCTCGTCAGTTCCAAAGTCAGCATACTGAACCTTGAGCTTGCGCTTGTCTTTCGAGGATGTTTTCTTGTCTAGCTCTGGATCATAAGTCGCCTTGCAACCCTTGACTACCAGACCAGTCGGGCGGGCTGAGAGGTAAAATGAAGGTGGAGTTTGAATGGGCGTCATGGTCGCATTGACTGAGGCGACAGCGACGTCTTTTTCGGCAGCAACCTCCGTCTCTTGTGACGGACTCACAAGCTTTTCTGGTGGTGAGAATTCGGAGTTTGTAAGTGGAGTCAAGGCGTGCAAAGGGTTGCCGTAAAGATGTGTCATTGCAGCGGGTTGGTTGTTTGAGCTGAAGACCGAGGAAGCTGTGCTGGTGGAACTTGCGGAACCAGCCCCATTGAGCATGTCTCCTGGTAGCAATTCCAGTTCCGCAGTTGTGTTTGGTCTTTTCGCACCGTCGGCATGCTTGGCCAGTTTTGGCGCACCCAGGGTGCTTTCTTGACTGGTCCATCGGCTAGAGGAAAATTTGGTGGAGGCGTCTCCAGGAGGCTCTTCCTTGACATCTGCGCGTGACTTTGAGCGCTGTGGGGTTGTCTTGGAGCTCTTTCGCTGTTGCAACACGGACGGAGCAGTGGGAAAGAAATCTGCGAACTTGCCCGCGGGGCGCGACATCACGAAGTTTCACCACCTCTGTCAACCAGACATCCTCTGCCAGGCTACCAAGTAATATAGCACGTCATCCACAAGAGACGCGGATTCATTGGGCGACCGCAAAATCCAGAGTAGTTCTAGAGTACCACTCTCTGTTTGATGTTGCGGTGGGTGGTCGGGGGAGAAGGGGTGTCGACGCGGCGTGGAGGATCTCACTGCTGCGAATGCCAACCACGTGTCCGGGCAGTGACAATGGTCTTTAGGCCTTGAACGTGGCCTTCAATGCAACCAAAGTTTGATTGAAAGGGATCTGAATAGATATTTTGAGGCATGGAAAGGGATTGTAGTTGAGCTTGACACTCCTTTGGACAGCAAGTTTCGATCAACGCGGATTTGGCCCTAGCGGCAGTCGTCTGACTAGCGTTGTAGCCCAGATTCTTCGAGTTCACCGCTCACTCAATCTTCATTTGTATGGCCCATCTCTTCTACCAGACTACTCCGTGGATCTACAGGAGTCTTGTATAAAGGAAGCGTCACTTTTTTCACGATGTATTATGGGTATTATCATTGTATCTCCTATTTTGTACATGTCCACTGCGGTAACTGCTGTTTCAGCGGTTTGTTCTTCAGCCCCCGCTTGCCATCCTGCAACAAGGTCATGCATCATGGGCCTCAACCAGAATTATTTCATCCTCCCTTCATATGGTAGAGGAAGCGTAGACACTATTTAGTAGTATCGAAATGAGTCAAGAGGGAAGCGTTGGGAAGGAATTGCGCAGGGTAGATGTCCTCCTATGAGGAGGCTGTGGCTAGATGACTTTTGTGAAAAGGTTTTAGGATATAATGCGTGTCGATGAAGTATCGATGTAACTGAGACTATGAGCTCGGATGAGAGCAACCAGCATCTTTATGATCTTATGGCAATTCGGTGAGGCAGTTGGTGGTGAGTGAAACAAGCGGACATGCGAGGAATCAGATTTGTTGAACACTGAAGGTGGCGATAATATATTTCTGGCGCAGGAGCCAAAGAACAGGATATGGCCGCGCAGCAGTACGGCGACGCAACCAAAAAAAATAACCGCCTATCAAATTGCACGGATATTTCCAGCAGAGTCGTGGTTCTTTTGACTTGATAAAAGAAAATAGTAGATGATCGTGAAGATTCTTAACCAAACTATATCTCGTACATATTGGAGCCTCACATGATCTCACTGGCTAGAATGTCTCGGAGGCTTTCCGGGTCTAGAATTGCCGTATTTTACGGACAGGGTCCGGAAAGTCGAAGTGGTTATAGTGGTAGTCTCCTGGGGGGCGCCTTTGCACCTACGACGGTAGGAGGCATATTAAATGTAACCCCCGCTCTAGTAACAGCTTGTAACACCAAGATAGAACGCCACAAAATCGCTTGATTAGGACAAATCTATCATCTCTCTTACATCGAGCGTGCATCCTATTGGCATCTATAACTACCTGGCATCTTGCTGGCATTGATTGATTGGAGTAGTTGTAGAATAAGATAGAATTAATTGAGAGGGCTTAACGCGTCGAACGCGGTAAATGACCCACTAGGGTGGTACGTCATTCGTACAAGCACGGTAAGGGTATCTCTATGAAGGTTGTTAATAACAATTTTACTAGTAGAGAGGGTTACATTTAATATGCCTCCTACCGTAGTAGTTCCACAATGTTGCCTCGACCAGATAATCAAGAACGACAGCGCATGATTGAGAATGAGGTGCGACGAGTTCTCGAGACTTAGAGCCATTCTTTGCAGGCCCTGAGGCGGGCTTCCGAGACAAGAGCGTTTAGTATAATTGCTGAGCTCTTGGAGAGCTAAAATGTCATATGCTAAGCGTATGTTCGATTGAAGGTCAGTGTTCCAGAAAAATGGGTTTTAGCTGAGACCAGAGTCCGGCTGAATCAAGTGGACTGACCAGCTCCTCCAACCATTTTCAAGACTAATTGTTGGAATGGTGATTTCGACGATAACAATGAGACATCGTCCTCTGCTCGGCTCCGAAATGGACATATGCAGCACGGTTTTCCGGTAAACGTAATGATTCCGCCAGCTGACACACATGACAGGTAGTACCCATGGTTCCTGGTGTAACATCGACATTCAAGCATGCCTGAGTTGACTTTTATGTGCTAGTGCTGGCTACCACAAACACAGCCTTGCTGTATTGGGGATGGATGAACACCCCCTAGAGGAATACTACGTAAGGCTGGGAACAGCGGGGGCCTCGGCAGCTCGGTATTTAGGCCTGACGGAGGGTCTCAGAGCCCCAAATAAGGATCTGCGCCACACAGGGACCCACGTTCCGCCCATTTATTTACAGTGAATATTTGCAAACAAGGGCTCAAGGATGCAGGGTCGCAGCAGGATTAGGGGCTCCGTGTGTCACTGCGGCGTCAAGGAGAGGGCAACAAATCGGTTGGTTGTCATGAGTCGCGACAGGAGTCGGCTGTCTTGCTTTAGGAATTAGGAGAGTCGAGAGAACGCTGTCTATGCCAGGAAATATGTAGGTAAGACACTTTCCGTACTTTGCTGCGGAGGGGCGGGTCAAGATCGAAGTGCTAACTTACTACGCAGTAACTAAGTTAGTGGAAAGATGTGGATGTTGTGCCAGTTCGTTGTGTGGATATGTGTTCTACTGCCAAGCAATAAGCTCCAATTAGTAGACGGACCCTACCTTAAGGTGTAAGTTGCTAGGGGCATCAAGAAACGCAGCCTCTACTTGTTGTAACCACTTTCCTGCCCTCCACCAACAAAGTTTAAGCATAGCTCTCACTCGTATTACTTGTCTGTTAACACCACAAAATCTCCTTCATCCTTCCATCCCTCGCAACATATACCGACTCCTGAGCTCCTTGTCACCATTTTTTGCTCAGCCTCCTTGCTCATTGACCGTCACATTGAGCGTTACCTCTTGACCACTATCCATCTCTTCTTCGCTGTAACAGCTTGAGCAGAGAAGTCGCTGAGGTGATCCAAGATGTGGTATGACTCCAATGTAAACTCAGCATTCGAGTAATGGCTGATTCCCTGCTGTAGTGGCATTTTTGGCTACATCAATTACCTGGTAGAGAAGGACCGCAAGTTCATCCTTGATACTTTGGTCAATGGTCAGCTGCCTCTCCCCTATAATACCAGATCAAATACTGATGCAAGACCTGGATAGGTCTATCCCGCCTCGAATATCGTGGATACGATTCCGCTGGCCTAGCCGTGGATGGTGACAAGAAGAATGAAGTCTATGCTTTCAAGGAGGTGGGAAAGGTTGCGAAATTGAAAGAACTCATTGTAGAGTCGAAACCAGATCTCAAGAAGACCTTTGACTCGCACGCTGGTATTGCACACACCCGCTGGGCTACACACGGGCAACCATCAAGACTCAATTGCCATCCTCACAGGTTCGTAGTCATCCCTTGCGGCCCTTAACCCTGACTTACCCGGATTCTCGTAGATCGGATCCGAAGTGGGAATTCACTGTCGTTCACAATGGTATCATCACCAACTACAAAGAGCTCAAGGCGCTTCTCGAAAGCAAGGGATTTCGCTTCGAGACCGATACCGACACTGAATGCATTGCCAAGCTTGCAAAATTCTTGTATGACCAACACCCAGACATTGACTTCACAGTTCTTGCCAAAGCAGTCATCAAAGAGCTTCAGGGGGCTTTTGGTCTTCTCCTGAAATCGATCCACTTCCCGCATGAAGTGATTGCTGCTAGGAAAGGTTCTCCTTTGGTGGTTGGTGTCAAGACCGGCAAGAAGATGAAGGTTGACTTTGTCGACGTGGAATACTCCGAGGAAAGTGGTGCGCTGCCTGCTGAACGAGCATCGCAGAATATGGCCGTCAAGAAGACCGCTACCAATCTCCTGGCTCCTCCCGATAAATCCCTTCTCCATCGGTCGCAGTCCAGAGCCTTCCTTTCAGACGACGGTATTCCCCAGCCAGCCGAATTCTTCTTGTCTTCCGACGCTTCAGCCTTGGTCGAGCACACTAAGAAAGTCCTCTACCTGGAGGACGACGATATTGCACACATTCACGAAGGTCAGCTCAATATTCACCGCCTTAGCAAAGACGATGGCACTTCCAACGTTCGTGCAATTCAGACCATCGAACTTGAGCTCCAAGAAATCATGAAGGGCAAATTCGACCATTTTATGCAGAAAGAGATCTTTGAGCAACCTGAGTCGGTTATCAATACCATGCGTGGTCGTCTCGATGTGGCCAACAAGAAGGTAACACTGGGTGGTCTCCGACAGTACATCACCACCATCCGTCGGTGCAGACGAATCATCTTCATCGCCTGTGGTACCAGTTATCACTCTTGTATGGCTGTGCGTGGCACTTTCGAGGAATTGACAGAGATCCCAGTTTCTTGCGAGCTGGCATCTGATTTCTTGGACAGACATGCTCCTGTTTTTAGAGATGACACCTGCGTCTTTGTCTCCCAATCTGGTGAAACTGCAGACTCCCTTATGGCGTTGAGATACTGTTTGGAACGCGGTGCTCTCACCGTCGGCATTGTTAACGTGGTGGGCTCATCGATATCCATGCTAACTCACTGTGGTGTGCATATCAACGCTGGTCCCGAAATCGGTGTTGCCTCTACCAAAGCGTACACATCGCAGTTTGTGGCCATGATGATGTTCGCCCTTTCTCTGAGTGAGGATCGCGCATCTAAGCAGAAGAGGCGAGAAGACATCATGGATGGTCTCGCTAAAGTCAGCGACCAATTCCGCGAGATTCTGAAGCTCAACGACTCGATCAAGGAGCTCTGCGCCAAAAAGCTACAGGGTCAGAAATCCATGCTCCTGCTCGGAAGAGGCAGTCAATTTTCTACCGCCTTGGAGGGTGCTCTTAAGATCAAGGAGATCTCCTACTTGCATTGTGAAGCAGTCATGTCTGGTGAATTGAAACATGGTGTTTTGGCTCTTGTCGATGAAAACCTTCCCATCGTCATGATCCTTACCCGAGACGAAATCTTCAAGAAGTCTCTCAATGCATTCCAGCAAGGTTCGTTTAGGAATTCATCATTTTGAGTTCATTACTAATATACTTATAGTTGTCGCTCGTAAAGGTCGGCCTATCGTCATCTGCACTCAAGGCGACGAGGAGTTCCCCTCCTCCAAGACCGAGAGGATCGAGGTGCCCGGCACAATTGATGCTCTCCAGGGCCTTCTCAATGTCATTCCGCTTCAGCTTATGGCATACTGGCTTGCTGTTGCTGAAGGCTTCAATGTCGATTTTCCCCGCAATCTTGCGAAGTCTGTCACAGTGGAGTGAAAGCAGATTACAATCTTGCGAGGGCGATGGTTGTGTAGGTGATGAGTGTATTCTACCTCATTCAGGTCTCTGGAGAGGCTATATCGATGGAGAGTAGGTTTTGGGGAAAAGTGAGCAGTACATTTTGTGCCTAGAGCTAGAGAGCGATTAACCACATTTTGTATTCGAAGCATAGAACACTATGGGGTCCATAATACCCATGTAGCACGCCTCTGTCGCTCCGATGTGAATTTACATACAATGCGCCCTCCACGCCCACATGCCATCTTAGCACCCCACGACGACGTATCGGAGTAAATACAAACTGAGGAGTTCCTTTTTCTAAGGTGAGTATTTCAACACGTACGCTACCGACTACCGCGCAAGTTACTGTGAAGCTGGCTCCAAGTCTATAGGCGGTTTGAAACAGTAGATACTTACTTACAGTGCTTCAAATATGGCTTCCCATAAAGGACCAGGTGCTCCTCAGAAGCACGAAGGTTAGTCTCCCAATTCTTTTTATCTGTCCAACCAACTGACCTTGACTCCTTCTACACAGGCTCCTCCCTCCGCATAGCAATAATTCACGCCAGATGGAACACCCGCATCGTCTCATCCCTCGTCTCAGCTACTCGCTCCGCCCTCCTCACAGCTGGTGTTTCTGCAGCAAACATCATCACGGAGTCTGTGCCAGGCTCGTATGAACTCCCCTTCGCATGTCAGAAGGTTATTGCCGCCAGCCAGATCCAAGCCTCTTCGCTTGCAAACATCGCAGGCAGTATTACTGCCGGAATGGCTGGGTTGGGGAGTGCTACGCAGGATCTACTTGGTGGTGGGGAGAGTAGTTCTGATTTGACCAAACTTGGACAAGAGGGGCCAGCACCACCGCAGCATGCAGTAGGGGAAAAGGACGATGAGACAGCTAAAGGGGACAAGCAGCAGCCATCATCACAGCCGTTCGATGCGGTTATCGCAGTTGGAGTTCTCATCAAGGGAGAAACCATGCATTTTGAGTACATTGCTGACGCTGTCTCACATGGCTTGATGCGGGTGCAATTAGATACAGGCGTGCCTGTTGTCTTTGGACTCCTGACAGTATTGACCGAGGAGCAGGGGATGGCAAGGGCGGGGATGATTGGGGGCCACAACCATGGAGAAGATTGGGGAAATGCGGCGGTGGAGTTGGGGAACAAGAGGAGGGGTTGGGCAGAAGGGAGATTTTCGTGAGGCCAGTCAGACGAAATCACAGTCGACTTAACGAGTGGGAAGGGACCTTGTTGGGTAGGGCTTTGGAGTGATAGACATTGGACTTCGGTCGATTGGACTGAGGCGAAGGCCTCAAAAATCTGTGAGATGCTGCACACTCCACAGACGCCTCTGCGCCATATGCGCAACCAAATGCTGGAAATGGGTAGACAAACCAAAAGTTTGGATCAGTTTACTCCTGCATTTGATCACCACCTTCTTCGCCTTGTTCATCATCTGAGTCGTCATATTCCGGCATCGCCTTCTTGGCCGCCTTGACTGCTGCGTCAAACAGCTCTTTCGGGACCTCTTCATGTCTACCCTTGGTTGGTCCTCCTTCATGCGAAATCCACGTCATCTCAAGCTCGAACTCCTTGTCCTTTGAGTCTTCGTGTGCCACGTAGATGATCCTCGCAGCCTCCTTGACGGCTTCATTGAGGGTAAGGCTGTTCGTTGGGGAGGCAAGGTCGAGCTTTTCCAATTCTGACTTTGCAGCTTGTCTTCCTTTACCAGTGGCTGCACCATAGTAACCCTGTACAAATCAGCGCGGAATAATAGAGCAAGGATGAGAATGCTACCCAATATAGTCCACTTGGTTCAATCATGTAAAGTCCCGGACCGCCCCTTGAGATCTTCTCTCCTATGTCATGGTCGTTGATCTTCCCTCCACCACCGCTTGCTGGACCAGTTCCAACCTGCCCATCGACTTCTAGTTCTCCTTCCGTATCCCAGCCCCCCATGATCGCTGTGACACCAAATGGTCTGACGGAGCTGTAGAGTGTATATGCTTGAACATAGCCGCCTAATCTGCCTGCCAAAGCATTTATCGGAATGGGACTTTTGTATGTTCTTCTCCAGCTACTGGCCTCATCTCTTGCTCTGCTGGTCAAATGTCGTCCATCAGGTAACAGTCCACTCGTAACAATTCCGACGTTGCGATCAACAGTTGCTATTCGCTTGTTCGCCCCCGGCTTGAGCAATTTGGAGACTATGATCTTTTCAACAGCAAGGACCACACCCTCCTTGCAGCGAATCCCAATGCACGTTCCTCCATTTTCTACTGCTTTCACCGCATACTCAACCTGGAAATTCCGACCATCGGGAGAAAAGACGGAGTTGGAAAGATCGTAGCCAGTTCCTATGGAGGTCTAGATAGGACGTGGAACTGTTAGCGCATCATATACGGGAGGAATATCGAAGCATCTGCGAAGACTCGCTCAGGCATTATTTCATGTTGACTGCAGGAATGGACTGACCATTTTGAATGTGTTCAGAGGATAGAAAGGTAGAGGTGGATGAATGAATCTATATCAAGCCGCGAAAACCTACAAGCTCGATGTGCAGTAAAACCAAGCAAGAAGTTGGATCAGGAGATGTGATCTGGAAAGTGGATTGACAGGCAGCTTGAGCTTCCGCGTCCAGCAGCATGTAGCAATACGAAACTGAGGTAATCTTGATACGCTAGCGGTAAATATCTGACCACAATGTGAACCCCCTACAAATGGTTTCATCATCTGTCTTCCATCATCCACCCACCATCGATCTCTTCTTCATACGCAAAACAGCTCTCCACCATCCAAGCTCATCTACCTAGGGTCACGAACCACTGGTTGAGGCCCACTTGTACGAGCTCTGTCACAGCCTTGATGCCAGGTTTACATAGATCATCGTACAACAACCCTTTCCTGCCTAAGTCCACGGTTTCCACTTTTCAACTTTGCAATTCTTTCTTTAACTGGAAGAGCCATAGCACCCCGCGTCAATCGTAACAAAAGTCCTTCAGGTTGGCCAGAGCACCGTGAGCTCTACCGCTGAGGACCTTGCTTTCCGGCCAGCTGGCATATTACCCTGACCTGGACCACTCTCACCCTACTGGATGATTTGATACTTAAATAGCTGCGTCCTCGATAGTTAGTCTTAGCTGTCAAGAAATCAAGACATCTATACTTGTTGCATGTTCTGCTTCCTTCGCTTGAGAATTGCCTTCTGACTTCCCTGTTGGTATCAAGAACAGCTTTTCGTGATGGCAGCTTCTGTCATACATCGGTGCCAGCACTGCGCCTTCGAAACGGATCTAGGCGCTTCGTTGGACATTTTCGAGCAAAATCCTCATTGTGGTCGGGTATGTACATCACTCTACTACCGTCCCATTCCTTCTCATGTCTGGCAGTGTGGGCTTTCCGCCTCGGAAGGAGATATGAAGATGCAGGAAGAACTTGCTACCTTGATGTCGCAGCAGTTGAAACTGGACAAAAACGTCAGCTTCCAGAACCTGCCAGAGCTGCCACCAACGCCTCCTCAGTCAGACAACCAACCCCAAATTACCTACATTACCCAGCACTACCATCATTCGTCCCACCAGGCAGCTCCGACACCGCCAGTCGAACCAACATCCGCTAGCGATGAACTTGCCTGTCACGGTATAGATGCAAATGTCCTCTTTCCCTCACAACTCAAGCTTTTCAAGCAAGCGCAACCGGAGCAGCAAATACGACTTATTCAATTGTGGAGCATTGCACCACCACAATATGGAAATCAAATGCTTGCTAAAGACCTGGTCAACTGGCCGCAGACATCGATGAGACAGGAAGAACAAGCCGCACAGTCTAGGTACATGAGAATGCAGGCAGAGTCTGGGCAGTACACTCCGGAGGCACGGTCCAGCGCAGAGCCATACATCCTCCGCGGCTACAACAACCAGCTTGATAATAACGATTGTACGGCAGCGGCAGGATTTGGAGCACAACCGAACGAGTACAATCGAGCTCTCGGCCCAGCTCACCTGAGCAGAGAGTGGTGGGTGCACGAGACACAGCCTGTGGAGCATCAATATGGGGTTGTTCAGCAGATGCGGCAATTTGCCGACCAGGATGAAGATATGTCATAGCACTCATATTTGATGGTAGCATAGCGAGAATTGCAAGCGTCTTGTGCTAGTTCTAGCCTGTTCGTGACCTTTAGGATCGTTGGACTTGGTTGGGCGATGCAATCATAATTGTTTCTTGCAGATGTTTTGAGCTACTTTTGATAACTTGTCAACACGGTGGTAACAAGTAACACTATGTTTGCTCATTTCTCCAACAGGCTAAGCAGTCCAGCTTCTCCGTGGAGAACAAGAGAAACACTTTGTCTCGTTCACTATACCATACTTTTTATCCTTCAGTCTACACCTTAATGCCTGTTCGGGTTGCGGATCTCGACCATTAAGCATATTACAGTGCCCAGGCAGCTGTGACTCGTTCCTACTGTCACTTTGTGGTCTAGGTTTTTACCCGCACCGTCCTGTGTTGTTGTATTTGCAGGCCGACAAATTTAATCGTGTTCCCGTCACGGTGGAGCAAACGAGGTTCTCTCGTGTTGTCGTTGTCCGATCAGCATGCGGACAACGTAGAGCGGGCTGCTCTATGGGACTTTCTTTGCGTATGACTCGGTAACACCGAAGCCGCCCAGCCACTTTCTTCGAGTACCTTTCGTATCAGTTTGCCCCGATGCGCTGCTCATGTTGATGTGTTCATCAGCCGAGCACACTCTTAACCATTCACTTGACGTCCATTAGTCTTTATCAGAAATGGCCGAATCCGCACAAATCTCCGTTCATGATCCATAAACCCAACTCCAAATTTTCACTCCAATGGCAGCCATCCCCACAATTCCAATACCAGCAAGGACACACAACCCCACAATTACCTTAGCCCGGATTGCAAACGCCTCATCCATCTGCTCTCTCGCCAGCTTCCGCTGATGTGAGTGATAGTATGGATGAGAATATTTCTCCTTTGATGGGGGACTTCCGGGTGGAAAGCCTCGGCGAGAGAGGATAGATGGCGATGTCCTCCGGTCGATAATAAGGAGAGAGAAGATGAAGGACAGGAAGAGGACAGGAGCGAGGATGGTACGGGAGAGCAGGGATTCCTGGGGTTCACGGTGGTGGAGTGTAGGTGAGTTGGGGGTCGTAGGCGGAGAGAGGTGTTTGGTTGGCATCGTGGAAGTGGGAGATGTTGAAGCTGATGCTGGTGTCAATCCTTGTTACACGCAGAAACGCCTATTCAGTCTCTTTTGCGACCATTCCCAACATGAAGGGGATGGCTTCGTTCAATTGACCTGCGATGTGTCACATTGTCGAAATTCGACGTGTTTATAGACAGGCAGTGCAATGTTGAAAATGCATGTTGCATCTTAGCAAAGTCGTTTTGTTCCTTTGTATGGACAGTTCGATGTCTACCGCCCATTGAGAGGAGATGTTGTCTACACACGTTGGGGCGGAACGTTGCGGATTCAACATCGTCGGGATCATGAGGTTGTTACCCAATCCCAAGCTGGAGCAGGCAACTTGAAGTTCGTCATCAGGCTTGGCATGCATCCAGCCGCACTGCTGACAAACTTGACAAGCGCTGCGATGCTCTTTTTGACCGTGACAAATTGACACTCGGCATTATGGTCCCGTAATAACATTGGGCATATATTATTGTGATTGACGTACTTTAGACGAGAGAAGGCGCCCCTGGGTCATCCTGTCCGCGAATTGGCAATTTCCAAAACCAGTATATCTGTTGCACCCACAGCAGTAAGCCTGTCCATCACCGTTGCGATCTCCTTCTTTTCCACCATCGAGCTCACAGCAACCCATTCTGATTCTTCCAGTGTTGTTATACTTGGTGCTCGCTTGCCAGGTGTAATACTTGTTGCACGCGCCAACTTCGACCTTGGAACGTTGTATTGACACAAAATGTACTTTTGTGCCGTGATGACGCCTTTTATCCTCGCAGCAATCAAGTCAACCAGCTTTAAATTGGAAGATTGCTTGGACTTGATTAGTACTGCTGTGCTTTCCACAACTGTGGCGATAGCTTTAAGACCAGCAGCTTTCATCGTCTCTCCCGATTCAACAAGATCCACAATGCCATCAGCAACACCAAGCGCGCAAGCAGCCTCAACACTCCCTCCTACGAACCGGATTTGTGTCTTCAGGTTCGGCACTGGACTGGCAGTGTTGTTAATGCTTTCTTTTCTTCCGCCAGCAATGCCTTCCAATTTTGCAAAATAGTCCTCCGTTAGTGCTGTGAAACTTGTGACTATGTTCTTGCCAGTCAACTGTGATGGATCATTCAGGTCCCCTCTCTCCGGTACCTGGACCTGTAACCTGCAATTACCAAATCCAAGATCCATCACCTCTTCCACGGTCGATGGCTGATCAAAGGGTAACTTTGCATCGTGCTCGGCCACTTGGTCACGGCCAGTGATGCCTAGATCCACCTTTCCTTCACCCACGAAGGTAGGAATATCTGCTGCAGGAAGGAAGATCAGGGCAATTGGCAGGTTCTTCACAAGCGCAATATCCAGGCGCGCTTCTCGTCGGAATTGGATGTCGGAGCCGGAGAGAAGGTCAAGGGTGGCAGCTTGAAGGCGACCCTTCTTCGGAACAGCGAACAGCAGGCGGTCTTCAAGGTGGTTAACGAGCTCCATGGTTCAGAAAGGCAATGTTTCAATCAATGCAGCAGCTGTGGGACCGATCTTGAGGAGACATTCGCAGACACTACTTGTTTTAGGATACCGCGACTGAACATGAGTTAATGATCAATCGTACCACAACAATGGAGACGGTGCATTACCTTGGGGAGCAAGCTCAACAAAAGTCGCAAGGTTGCGGCTCAAAGCTGCAGGCGGAGAATCGGCAGGCTGATCACCGAAGCCCTAACCCTGCATAATAATTTAGTGCCAAGACGACCCTCCCAAGCTAAAATTTTGAAGATACTCCACTGCATTGCACCATGCACTTGAGGAGTTCCCAAGACCTAGTCCAAGATTTGTTTGAAGTCACATTCACACCACATTTCTCGTTGCTCATCCCAGATTCTCCATCGGATACTCTAGAAGCCTTTCAACCACTCCTCCATAAATCTCCGACAACCCTCAAATGGATGCCGGCAAAGTCCCAGTCAAGCTAGTCAAGGTCACCAGAGTCCTTGGGCGCACGGGTACGACTGCTCTATTCAGCTTTGAAAACCCTTTCACTTCGCTATTCTAATTAAAAGAAACTCTCCAGGCTCAAGAGGAGGTGTTACCCAGGTGCGCGTCGAGTTCATGGATGATACCAGCCGAAGCATCATTCGCAATGTCAAGGGACCAGGTACGCACGAATCACATTCATTATGCTCCAGTCAAGAGCCTAAGAAGTTTGGCTGACACAGCTCGCCACAGTGAAACAAGACGATATCCTGTGCCTGCTGGAATCTGAAAGAGAGGCAAGGAGATTACGATAGTACAGTCATTGTGCAGGACGGTGGTTTCATGGTGGGTTGAGAGATGGACTGAGGTAGAACATGGTGATGAAGTTGAAGCGGAAAAGATACTTCATTGAAGTTGCACACTCCACTGCTCGCGATGAGGTTTCATCACTTGCAGCTATTGCTTCATTGCCTTCCTCATCTTAAGTCAGTTGCAATGCACGATTAGTTGTTTATGCACCAAACCAACCGAGGGCTTGTTAACCCTCAATTTGAAACTTTCCCTAAGTGTTTGGTTTTAACGCTTTTCTTCCCACGTCTGCTACATCGCATTCGTACCCGACTAATCGCTGGGTATCTGTTGCTAATGTTCGCTCACAATGTGATTGGCATCCTCTGTCTGAGGTTTCTGCAAGAAGTAACTCGCCAAAGTTTTGAGCTTCAATGCATCGTACATAGTACGCACTCAAATATTGAGTATATTGCTTGGCTTAAAGGGATTTTGCCTACCGTTTCTTTCGCAATATGAAACGGTGTGTATTGGTGTGCCGATCAACCTGGTTCGGGATGCAACCCTTTCGTATAGTGATGCCTCTGTGACTTCCACGATCACGATGATGACAAGCCCTAACGGTGGTCAAGAGAAGCCTACCGCCTTTTACTCCCCACAACAAACAAATATAGCCTTGATTTAATTTCCCATGACGAAAGAGGGGAGAGCTCGGGCCGATCCTCCAGGCAGCCGTGCCAAGGATGACCCTCCTCCACACTGCCTAAGTCCTCTTCCTCTTTAATAACAGAGTACATCGAATATCTTTCTGTATAGCTTGCAGGATTCTTGTCGCTCCGTAAATACTATCGGCTCCATCTTTTGCTATCTGTTAGGGTACCCCTCTTTCGGATGGAGTTGGTTGAAAGCTACTTGTCTGCTACCTTTTAATGTCGATCAAGCTCAACCTCCGTCCACAACATGTCGCTCGTCAACTGGTTCGCTGAGCATATAGGATGTGATATGCGACAGAGTTTTGCTCAGCAGTTCATCAAAGGCTGTGGTCGGAGTCCGCGAAGTAATCCCAATAGTCTCAAATCATCCCGAGCCTTCCTAGACCTTCCTACCGAAATTCGGCTCTTGATCTATGAAGCAATCTTCACACCAGCATCCGTGGTGCTCCAATCAGGGGAGTTACCTGCTATGATAGCAGTACTCCAAAATTTTCCCGAATTGATCTCCCGCGGATCTCGAGATGTTCAGCTCTTTCGTACATGCAGGACGTGCTACGAGGAAGCACCACCTATTTTCTACGCATCCCTCAATCTTCTTGTGTATCAGCATCTCCCACTCCTTCGATTGAACTTTTTGCCACGAATTGGACCCTTGAACGCCTCCTTCATCAAGATGGTGACCATCACTCCAATTGGTCTTCCTGGAGAGCATCAGAGATTCCTTGAATGCCTAGGATCGAAGCACGGTGGTCTCATTGGCGTTGAGAATCTGACTCTGGAGATCTGGGAGCCCGAGCACGTTCCTGCCTTCATTAGTACCTGCCAAGAACTCATGCAACGTCATGGAAAGCTAAAAATCCTCTTCGGTCGTGGCACCGACACGGGTTGCCAACTCCAAGCTGGGGACATACCGGCGACGTTGAAGCTGGCGAAGCCTGGTCAGTCGCCCGGCCATAGGGTAAGTCTCCACATCACTCCTGCGAAGTCGTGCTTATCGCTTCCCTGTCGTTACTTCACAACACTTACCTTCTCTACAGGAACGAATCATCCAATCAATAAAGGTCGTCGAGCCCACAGGATCTCAGAACCATCTGCCGCTGGCGGAAGAGTGTTCTGGACGAGATTCTTTCACGGCAAAAGGCCGGCGAACAGTCAGCCTTGCTGTACCGCCGCCCAGGAGAACCATATGGTCGCGATATAAGTTTCGACGTTCTCAAAGATCGAAACTCTAATACCTTGTTTACGAGTTATTATTACTGTGCCACACATGGTATGATTGACGAAACTGGGTTTTGCATAACCTTACCAAGGAAATGTTTTGGGGATATGGAGCAAAGAGCGGCGTGTTCTATTTGTGAATTGACATGGTTGGCGTATATGATTACATATTACACTTCAATACTGACTACCTCATCATCGTTCCCACACCAGTGCATACGCCCTAACTAGTGCTCCAGCCCATTGACGTACAGCCCTTGTCCTACGGTCTGAACCTCCCTCTGCCACAGCTCCCAAGGCCGAATGATGAGAGGCTTATTGGTTGCCCAAGAATCTATACCCTCTTGCGCAGTCAGATACCGCAAGCCGCTTCCTTCGCCAGTATTTGGAAATGCATGCTCCAGCTCTATCGCGCTGGACTGGATTTCCGCATTGCTCTGTGTATAGATTGAAAAGAAGACAGCTTGTTCGATGGTCTCACCTGCTACAGCAAGGCCGTGGCCGCGCATGAGCACGGCCGGCGGATCTGGGAACGAATTTGTTGTTGAGTTGACATTGAAGGTGTTGGCTAGGGCGGCACCAAGCCGTGTGTTGCTTACCAGGAGATCCTGCTGATCGCCTGGCTCATAGAACTCGGCAATGTCGAAGTTTGGAACTCCTTGGTCGCCAAGGAAACCTGGCAGATGGTATACAGCCTTGAGTGGCACGTCAGTGATTGTGTATGGAAGCACCTGTGGAGAATGACTGTGCACGACACTATTGACGTCCTCGAAGCGCTTGTAGATCTCACTATGTATGAAGCGCTCAACGAAGCTTCTGGGACGGGTTGGGTCTGTCTGTGATGCATCAGCGACGTTGAGCTCGTTGATGTCCTCAGTAGATGAGATGAGTGCTGGCGCTAAGGTTCTGGCAAAAAAGAATGTGGAGGCATTCTCTGGGTTCCGGACCGAGATGTGGCCATATGCATGGAGTACCGAATGATAGTGGAGGACGTGGTTAGCTGTGATCAGCGTACTGAGGATCGAAGTGGCATTGGCAGAAACCATGATACCTCTATTGAGTTCTCTGCTCTATCAAGAGGATGAGTTGTGCAAGATCGTAAAAACACCTGGGTCTTATAGCCCGGAATATTTCGATCGCCTTAAGGGGGTTCAAATTGAAGTCCGGAGGTCCTGCCGTATACTCTAATAAGCCTTGTGCAACCACGAGGATGATCGACCCATAAACCGAATTCCCGGGCCCAATTGGGTATGTACGGAGTAATGCGACAACGATGGTGGGACAAATTTGTTCCATATTGGCTCCATGGCTTCACTGGTGGCTGCGACTGACGTCTTCTATGACACTCTTTCTGCTTCGTCCACCAGCTCATCTAGATTGAAGCCCTGATCGCCCTTTGAGAACTTCTCCAGCAGCCCTTGCCTTTTCTCTTTTCCAATCCCGCCCCCATGACCTTCGAAATCGTAGAATTTCTGTAAGCACATCACCAACCATCTTCCCTCTTCTGCACTTAAGCCTCTCCCCTCCACTACCCCACCATTCAGCAACACTAGTCCGTGTGAATCGGCAAGGTCAAGATGGTGCGTAATTATGGTGTGTGGCTGCGCATACGCCCCGTGCACCTTGAAGGAGGCAAGGTGGGTGAACAATACAGTTGAAGTGTGCGTGTTGACCGTGGCGGAACCTGATGCTGGAGGTACAGCAGGTGGGTGGAAGCCCCATTGTAGAAAGTGGATGTCTGCAGCTGTTCTTTGGCCGCCCTCGAAGCCTTGAGCTGCCTGCCGGCGGCGGGTCGAGGGAGGGGTAGGATGAACTGAGGATGGTTCTTAGCGGTGTGATAGATGCGATTGTAAGTCTCGATAGGAATGACAGCGCAAAGGGAGAGTGGGTCGGAAGCATGACGCAGACGCCAGATATGCTCAACCTCTTTCTTGGGCAGGGCGGAGACTTTGGCTAGATCAAGACAGGCTGATAGAGGTTTGATTCCAGGGGTAGAGGAGTGACAGCCTGCATGGTCGACCGTGCCTGGTAGTTGCGGCTTAGGTACTGGCGGTGGAGGTTGTTGCAAGGCTAGATTCGGCGCTGGAGATGCTGCAGATGGGATAGTAGTAGCCTTCCGTCGTAGATCTGAGATTCTGTCTTGATATGCTTCTTTGAGTGAATTAATCGACTTATGGCCTTCCCTGGAGCCAAAATCAGCTCCCATGCGCATACAGAGAGTACAAGCACCTACTCCTTCGCTTTCTTGTCTAACTTGTCCCTGTATTTTTCAAGAATACTCTTCGTATCACCACGGGTAGCAACGAAACGAACGTCATGAACTCGTGCCCATCTGCGCTGCAAGCGGAGTGGGTTTGGTGGTCCACGGATCCGGTTGAAGATCAGCGGACTGTGGAAGGAGGCCATCGTGCCCGATGCAAATTCAATTGATCAAGCAGATGGCTGTGATGTGATCGTAAGGATGGCGAATGATGTTGGGTGGCGTTTCAAGGTGGCTGCTCTTTTTGGCCAAAAATCTTTACCTACAAGATGTAGCTGCAATCTACCACTACAGTATGGACATAATACTAACGATTCTCTCCCATTCACCACGGATAATCAAACACGCAGCTCATCGCCTTCGTCATCTAACCGAGGCGGCTGACACTCTGCATGGAAAGCTTCCGACGCCAGTCATCAAAGCATTTGCACTTGATTAGTCTGATGCAACTATCTGGGGGTATCTCATAACAATAACGAAGGCTGCAATACTCGCTTAACGCAACGACTGCCGCTGTTGTGAGTACAATCGCTCATGATTGAAATCGGAGGTTAGCCCATCGTTGATAGCTCAGCGGTAAGCTCGCCATAACTTCAACCATCAGAAAAGTCACTTCAACTCCACAACTCGTCTTTGGAGACATCAACACTCTCGAGAGGGTGATTGTCGACTTTCTCCGATAGAACATCTTGGACGAGGAAAGCCCAGATGGCATCGAAATAGCCAGGCTCAGCCACAGTATCGTTGTGTTGACCATTGGGGAAGGTCTTCCACACCTTGTGGTCAACCTTACAGATGTCGTGCAAAGTCTTCATCATATGTGCAGGGACAATCTCGTCCTTCAAACCACTCAAGAATAACATTGGAACGTCGGCAGTAATCCCCAACATTATCTCCTCTGATGGCCACAGCTGATGGCATAATCTCGCTATGTACTTTGCTGGTGGAAAAGCCGTTGGTATAAGTTTACGGATACTGGTGAAAGTGTTTTCGAGAATGACGCCTGCTATATCGCCCTTGGTTTGGTTTTCTGCAACCAGCCTAATGGCCACTGCACCGCCTAGGCTTTGTCCGTAAATGACCAACTTGGTGTCACGTAACTCGTCATGGTTTCGAATGTAGTCAAGTGCAGTTTGCGCATCGATTGCCAGCCCGCTCTCGCCTGGGGTGCCTGTTGACAGCCCATAACCCCGATACTCCAGCATCAAGACATTACAGCCCAGACTTTCTGACAACACCTTGCCAATTGGCAGACGATGGCCGACATTCCCCGCGTTACCGTGGAACATCAGGACTGTAACGTTTTGTTGCAGAACGATACTAGACGCTCGTAGGAAATATGCGTGTAGAGACTCGTTATCTGGCGTTTGTAGTTGTAAGGACTCTGAATTCTCGATTTGGAAATCCTTGGGCTGGGGTACGTCGGTGCGTGCTCCTGCTGGGAGGTTTCGAGGGTAGATGATTTCATTCTGTTTGAAGTACAGAAGCCCTGACCCAAGCGCAGCCAGACCCGAGGAAGCTAACACAGGTAAACGAAGGTATGAGAAGAAGTTCGCGGCCATAATGGGGAGACTCAGTTGTGGACGGCTGATGAAGCTTTGCGAGTGAAGGTACCCTTCTATTTATTGCTGACGAGGATTCTAGTCGATTGCAATCCGTTCTGGACAACGGGTAGCGAAGTGGCACTATTACGATCGAAGGTAGCGCTTTGCAAAAGCTATTGATTGCTGGTCCCTACGCGCCACAAAGCCTTCTGCGTAAGAATAGCATTTACTCATATCCCATCTTACCACCGAAATGAGAGCAAGTACAGCGTCTGTAAGGAGGGAGGATGCAGGGTGATCGGTGGCACAATAACCGAACAGTACATGTTTGGGGGCGAGACTCCAACGTCGAGTGAATGGGCATTGGTGAGCCCTGGAGCTCGGACCTTCGGACCAACTGACTGCAGTGCCAAACTGCTGTCAATGCCAAGTCTAGAAGTTGCAAGATCAACGAACGCGCGCATCTTCTGCCTGTCAATTTGAATATCAGCGTTTCGCTTCTAGACAAGAATAAAGAGACGATAGGGCTTCAAGTTCTTCAAGTCACCTCATATCAATCTGAATCGCAACACACACCCTCGTTCTTGCCTTCGATAGCTTGGGCCACCACCTTCTCTGTCATCCCGTCGCCTTTTTCAATCTACGCCCGGGCAGTATGATCGGCCCAGGCACAGGCATGCTGGGCGAAGATGGCATTCACATCGACATGAATCATCTGAAAACCGGTGAAGTGAACCTTGGAACCTCCATCATGGCCATAAACTTCAAGGACGGCGTAATTCTTGGTGCCGACTCTCGGACAACAACAGGCGCTTACATCGCAAATCGTGTTACAGACAAACTTACTCAGGTGCACGACACGATATGGTGCTGTCGCTCAGGCTCAGCTGCGGATACACAGGCGGTAGCAGACATTGTACAATATCACCTGGGAATGTATGGAATCATGAACAATGAGCCTCCGACCACTCACACCGCAGCGGCACTATTTCAGGAGCTGTGTTACGACAACAAGGATCAACTCAGGTAGGGCTATTGGATGCTAGCGCTTGAAAGTGCTAACATTGTTAGTGCTGGTATGATCATAGCTGGATACGACCGCCGTCATGGTGGCCAGGTTTATTCAATCCCTTTGGGGGGCTCGTTGCACAAGCAGTCGTATGCGATTGGCGGCTCAGGCTCGACCTACATCTACGGTTACTGTGATGCACATTGGAAGGAAGGCATGACAGAGGAGGAAGGGGTTGAATTTGTGAAGGGCTCTTTAAGAGAGGCGATCAAGTGGGACGGAAGCTCCGGAGGTGTTATTAGAATGGTGGTTCTGACGGCCAAAGGAGCTGTTCGACATTTGTATCTGCCCGACAACGGATATACTGGGCCGGGAACAAAGCAGTAGACTCCTTGCTCTTGTCACGGCATGGCATGGCGTTGAGAGGCTCTTGTCACGTAGAAGTGGCAGCAATAGTGACCGCGATTGCAGCATGTCAGATGCAGGGGACATAATTATCAATCATCTTGACCGCTTGCTGGCTTAATCGCTAGTAGCCCTAAACAGAGTTGATCCATACCTCCAAGTGAAGGGAGCAATAACCCTGAAGCGAATTGATGCTCGCTCTTGGCAACCCCTATGTAATATTCATTCAACAACCTCTTTGATACAGACGAAATCGGATCTGGACGCAACGCACTCATCTTAAGCTATTGTTCTCAGCCGGTTCCTGCAGCCCGTAGTACACACCAATGGATAATGATTCAGCGGTCAAGTATCTAGAGTCTCTGGTGAACCGTACCTTTCGTGCCCATACTTCGGACGGGCGGATGTTTCTAGGGGAATTCAAATGCACCGATAATGTACTACATCTTAGAGTGCCCTGGGCAAGGATATTGTTGATGACCTGTAGGAAAGCAACATCATACTAGCAAAGACTTACGAATACCGCATGCCTACTGCGAAGGCGAAACAAGATGCCATTGAACGCCAGCTGGCTGGTGAAGGCAGTGGGAAAGCAGACATGACAAGCAGATTCCTGGGCCTTGTCGTTGTCCCTGGGCAGCATATCACTAAGCTCGAGGTCGAGGAGAGAAAGCCTTGGGAGCTACCCTTACGACCGAACTGAGTGATTGACTCCCTGCGGTATCCTCCTACGGTAAAGCTCAGTCTGGTCCTCTTCAAATTGAACATCGTTATGCTGAACTTGTGGTCTAGACCGAAGAGAAGCTGGCTTCACAGTTTCGTCGCTTCATTATCTGCGTGAGCTTAGGACGGAGTGCTCCATGGAAGCTTTACTCGAGAGGTGAAGACAAGATCATCTTTAGACCCGAGCCCCAATCCACAATCATAGTTCACGGGCTTCTAGCACCACACTACATGATGTAACGATTTCTCGAAACCTTACAAGACAGAGTGCATCCAGAGAGCTGTGGTGTGGGGCGGTTTGTTTGGGATGGCGTTTCGTCTCCTGCACAATGGGACAATTTCAATCTGGCGTCGAGGTATACGAGGCTCTGAAGAGCCGGCTCAACTGGGTGGTGTTCCTGGTTTTTGGACAACGTGTTGTAACTAACTAGTTAGCGGAATTGCTTGGCTTTCGTGGCGCAAAAAGACTCCACCTCCACAGCTATTTCTTCTACGTAGACTGAGATGATTCAGCCATCCTATTAGAATTGATCGCAATCACTGTCGCATTCGACTCAGGGTTGTTGTCGCACTCGCCTCACTCTTTGTTTGAATAAAGCCAACCGAATCACGAATGTTAGCAAGCGAACCCTCCGCAACTATAATTGACAGTATTTCTCTGGCCATCTCTCGTCGCTTCTAGGATTCGCGCCTGCTCTAATGCTCAAGTATTACTGCTGACTATCTCTCAAGTTTAGGAGTGGACTTGAAACCTCCCCTCTCGGACAGTGACAACCGTCTTCTCTGCGCGACTTTCGTCTACTTTCAACCCTCAAGTCTGTCATATATTCCAAGGCTACTGCGAATTCCAAGCGGAGCCCACAAGCCAGTTCAACTATTTTCTTAAAAGGCGCATGCCGAAATTCCCTGTACATTTTCAGGTTTCCCGTCAACTTCCCACGACGAAGTCCTTTGTTGAAGCAGATTTCCTTCGCTTCTTGTCGTCACTCTTTGAACCACCATAAAACGAGGAAGAACGTTGCAGACGCATCACTAGATATACGATCAGAGGATACGAGACAGTAACGGCTTTCGGGTAGCCTTTGGCTGGGTCGCCTGTGGAGCAACTACTGCGACACTTCCGTTATGGGCCAACAGCAGTCTAAGCCCGATGGGCCTAAGTCCTCCAAAAATGCTTCATCGTCGAACCTGAGCGGCCCTTCGAACAATCTACAGTCCTATCCATCATTCAGCAAATCGGATACCAAAGAATCTTCGAGGTCGTTGAGGGGTTCCATAAGATCGAAAATACCAGGCAGCTCAAAACTGGACAAGCAGGAGAGTCCTCGAGATACAGCCGGAGGTATTGATGGGCCCAATTTCGACAGAACTGATACTGGCTCGGTAAGGTCCACTACTAGATCTGCGCGCCGTGGATCCACTTCTTCCGCTCAATCGCCAGTTACAACCACGACAGACGGCGACGACGAAAACCCATCACCACGATCCGGCTCTCCTGTAAGTGGAAGGCCACCATCTCCAACCCAGTCCAAGACGATAGGGCAGCGACACAAAGATGTTAGCGGCGCTCAAAGGTCTGGAGAGGTGGGTGCTGTCTCCGAAGACGCCCCTGGCTCTAATATCCATCCATTTGCCCATCACCAGAAGCCGGGAAATTCTATACTTGTCAAGAATGAGAATCAGATCAATCCTCGAGCTTCTGACACGAAGAGCTACCTGAAAGCAAAACTTGCAGAGTCATTGCCCGGGACTTCGCCCGGGGGCATGGGCATGAACGCTCTAGAAGATGTCGATCTGGACGATATGATCACGCGCTTACTAGACGCCGGTTATTCCACCAAAGTCACCAAGGCGGTTTGTCTCAAAAATGCGGAAATTACTGCCATCTGCACCAAAGCCAGGGAAGTGTTACTCTCACAGCCTGCGCTGATCGAGCTGTCTCCGCCAGTCAAGATCGTTGGAGATATTCACGGCCAGTATAATGATTTGATCCGGCTCTTTGAGATGTGTGGTTTCCCTCCCAACTCGAATTACTTGTTCCTGGGAGACTATGTGGATCGTGGTAAGCAAAGTCTGGAAACGATTCTTCTTCTGCTGTGCTACAAACTCAAGTTTCCAGAAAACTTTTTCATACTTCGTGGCAATCATGAGTGTGCTAATGTCACGCGAGTATATGGATTTTACGACGAATGCAAAAGGAGATGCAATATCAAGATCTGGAAGACTTTTGTTGATACATTCAATTGCTTGCCCATTGCAGCAATTGTAGCGGGAAAGATTTTCTGCGTCCATGGTGGTCTGTCTCCGAGTCTGCAGCATATGGACGACATTCGACAGATTGCACGACCCACGGATGTGCCTGACTATGGACTGCTTAACGACCTCCTTTGGAGCGACCCAGCTGACATGGATCAAGATTGGGAATCGAATGAAAGGGGTGTCAGCTATTGCTTTGGCAAGAATGTCATCATCGACTTCCTTGCACGACATGATTTTGATCTAGTTTGTCGAGCTCATATGGTGGTAGAAGATGGATACGAATTCTTCAATGATCGGGTATTGGTCACTGTTTTCTCTGCACCTAACGTAAGTTCAGCAGATCTCACTACGGAGCAAGCTGACATGTTTCAGTACTGCGGAGAATTTGACAACTGGGGAGCGATCATGTCTGTATCTGATGGCCTGCTTTGCAGCTTTGAGCTTCTCAAACCTCTCGATTCCAGTGCCTTGAAGAATCACATCAAGAAGGGGAGAAACAAACGCAACAGCATGCTCAATAGTCCTGTAAGTTACATACTTGCTACTTGCTATGATGTCAATGGTTATGCTCACAGTCTTGCAGCCTGCAACTGTCTCTGCGCAAAGCTTCTGAATGAAACATCCATTTCTCTGTATCCCAGCGATTCAAGCACTTTGTTGGGCTCAAACGCCGCATCAAGTTCAACGAGATCTTGCATCAACTAGGATTTTAGTCTCGGTTGTGACTTGCTAGGCCAAGAATCCAACTCGCCTTCGCGCGCTCCGTGTTGTATAAGACGTCGGAGTTGATGCAAGGCTCTTGTGGCCTGAAGGTCTCCAGGTTGCGCGGACCTGGAAAGGTGGTACAGTTCAGAGTGAGCATGAAAGATGGTGCAATTTTGTGAATGGTGTTTTCTACATGCCCTCGTTAACATCTCCGGAGGTTGGCATTGACAATGTAGTCGGAGAGATAAGCAAGGTGCCCTTGGACGTTTGACGGACCAGACTGAAGTGGTATATGCGAGCTAAAAGATATGATCGGATGATGGGGGCCTGTGCTTCAACGGACTGATCTTCAGCTCTCTGGTTTGGGTGGCTAGATAAGGCTATCGAGTAGACTTTTGCTATGGTCGTATATGTCTTTGGCAATTTACATTGGCCGCATCTTCTGGTCACTATTGATACCCGTACTTCTGAACGGATTGTGGAATTGGATGAAACCAATTTTTTGTGTGCATTCGTAGGACTCTTCCGAGGCGTGTCCCGTTCATGCCGCGTCTCCTCGGCAGCTCACCAAAGACACTTGACGCCAGAAACGAACTGCTGCTCACCCACACATGTGCAGACTTTTGGCCAATACAACTATCATTGAACGCCTGCATCGCATTGTTTTCTAAAGCTGCAGGCAAATAACGTCCGCCCAGCTTACCTAGTATTGAAACTTACTAGTTAGTAGGAAGGTGGTTGAGGTCATTCAGTGACCACAGTTTACCTGACCTGGGCAATCTACGAGATCAGTACCAAACACACAGACCTGCTATTGAGCGTTTTGGAGCTCTCGACGAGGCCTGTAACGGCCTCAATGATAATAGAGCCATGAAGGCAGCACCATTGCTTGTTTCATGGCACAATGAGAGCTCGCCAATCTACTCCACCCACTTCGATCCACATGGGAGAGGACGGCTTGCTACAGGTGGAGGGTAAGCACATCGCTTCAGCTTGACGGACGACGAGCTCACAGTTACCCAGTGACAACAATGTTCGAGTACGCCTACAGAAAGCTCTTTGGAGTCTTTTCCGTTGCTAACTGCTCGTTAGTTGTGGAGCATTGAAGCAAATGGCGAAGACAGAAAGCTCACATACCTCTCCACCTTGGTCAGGCATTCCCAATCTATCAATGTTGTACGATTCTGTCCGAAAGGTGAACAATGATACGGCCTTTCCGATGCAGAAATGCTAACCGGTACAGGTGAAATGCTTGCCTCTGCCGGAGATGATGGCAACGTAATCCTCTGGGTCCCTTCGGATGTTCCTGTAACCACGCTGGGAGAAGAGCATGTCGAGGACAAAGAGACGTGGAGGGTGAAACACATGTGCAGATCCTCGACTGGAGCCGAGATATACGACCTTGCCTGGTCACCAGATGGAGTGTTCTTCATTACCGGGGGTGTGGATAATACTGCAAGAATATTCAATGCTCAAACCGGTATGACTTCCCGTGGATTGGAATGGAATGACCATTCTCTGAGTTAGATGTAGGCCAATTGGTGCGCCAAATCTCTGAGCATAGTCACTACGTTCAAGGGGTCGCCTGGGATCCGCTCAACGAGTACATCGCAACACAGTCGTCAGATCGTTCCGTGCATATATATGGACTGAAACTCAAAGACGGAACCTGCACGCTTTCGAATCATGGGAAATTTCAAAAGATCGATTTGCCTGGCCGGCGAATCTCTTCACACAGTCCAGCTCCGTCTGATATAGGTCATCGTCCTTCGACCCTGAGTGAGGCTCACCGCCATTCGACGTCGGGCGAAGGTCATCGCCCTTCAAATGCAAGCGAGAAGCTTGCCAACACATCTCCTGCACCTTCAAATCCTGGGACACCTCTCGCTACTCCGCTCCCGATGGATCCCCCAACAATCTCCCACAGTCGTCGATCGTCGTTTGGTTCGTCGCCGTCTTTCCGACGATCAGCATCACCAGCACCTGGACCTTCACTTCCGCTTCCCGCAATTCGCCCAGAGATCTCCTCGCCTAGCTTGAACGCAGCTATGGGATTGGGGGTGAGGAATACCAATATCTATCACAGCGAGACCCTGACATCGTTCTTTCGGCGTCTCACATTTGCCCCCGACGGAAGTCTTCTCTTCACCCCTTCGGGCCAATACAAAGCATCTCATCCATCAACAGCAGACCCTTCCAAAACGGTCGACGAGGTCTCAAATACTGTCTACATATATACACGTGCGGGCTTCAACAAGCCACCTGTTGCTCACCTGCCGGGCCACAAGAAACCCTCTGTCGCGGTGAAATGCTCACCGATCTTCTACACTCTCCGTCAAAATCCAAAGCCAACCACGCAATTCAATATAGACACTTCTGCAGCTGATTTGGACATACCGCTTCTTCCTGACCCTGTAGTGCCAACCCAATCATCGTCCGTCATGGAGCCTCCTGCAGCAGTCTCCTGCAGTGTCACAAGCGAGCCATCTAGACCGCAATCATCACCAAAACCTTCTGATTTGGATGTTCCGGTCACAGGCCTCAGCCAAGCTTTTTCACTCCCGTATCGGATGGTGTATGCTGTTGCAACTCAAGACGCAGTACTTGTGTATGATACCCAGCAGCAGACTCCTATCTGTGTTGTCAGCAACCTTCACTTTACGACATTCTCGGATCTGAGCTGGTACGTTGTTTGTCTATTCTGCCGATAGGGCTAATATGATTAGGTCTAATGATGGTCTGACACTATTGATGTCCTCGACGGACGGCTATTGCTCAACGCTCGCATTTACTCCTGGCGAGCTTGGTCAAGTCTACTTGGGGCCGCATCCCACAATGAGCCATCCAACCATCACCACCCTTGCCGCCGCTACAACCACTGTACCGACGCCTATCAATACCTCCTCGCCATCCCTGACCAAGGCTTCTCCTGCCATTGCTCCATCACTTCCATCCCCTGCTGCTCCATTCTTCCCATTAAGGCCAGGTAGTCCAGCACGATCAAATTCGCAGTCATCTATTGCCACCATGTCTTCCGTTCAAACTCCAGCAGTAACGAACAACCCTACACCGACCATGAGCCACGTACCTATGGTTACTGCCGCGAATTCGTCTGGGCCCGTCGGCCTACCGCAGCCAACTCCTCCACAGACTCCAATGGCTGGTGGACACAGTGCAACCAGCTCCGTCAGTGGGAGTGTGCTGGGAAAGAGGGATATTGGTGGGGCCAGCGAAAGTGAGAAGGAAGACGGGCAACCCAAGAAGCGGAGGATAGCTCCCACGTTAGTAAGTGGCGCTACTGTACCACCAGCAGCAGAGAAGGAACAGAATAAAAGCTAGCGACGGATGGCCTGGTGGAGCGTGGAAATAAAGCTGTGATCATATTTTGTCAGATATTCTGGCTGATGGGTGTGAGCCCGGGTTAGCCATTGCTTAGCGAGGTGTTTTGGTTTTCATGTAGAAATAAGCAACATCTTATCAGGTATAATACTCGTAATAACTGGCGTAGACTGTCGTGCTTGTTCGTCTGGCAATTCAAGCAAGCACCGCACAAAGCAATGTCTTGGCTCCTTGGTGCTATGTGTCCAATCACGTGACACTTCGTTGCGCATCCCATGGCATCCGAAATCGAATCAATCATGGGTTATTAAGCTATTGCTTCGTCTCAGGCCGCTGTCAGCAATGAACATCAATTGGCAAAATTGATGCGAATATTCTCGTCGACAACCAAACTCTTTGCCACGAGGGAAATCGACATGGAAAAATTGAAGAAGATGATCAGGCAACCCCAGTGTCATCTCTTATTGAGACCCTGCTCGCTCCCAATCTTCTACCTTTCGCCCTAGGCTTCTAGACCTACATTGTTCTCGTCATGGGAGTTACGGGCCTTTGGACAGTGGTTGCGCCGACGGCCCGACCTACTCAACTTGCTTCGCTAAACCGTAGACGACTTGCCGTCGATGCCTCGATTTGGATATACCAATTTCTCAAAGCTGTGCGCGACAAAGAAGGAAATGCTCTCCGCAACTCCCATGTTGTCGGGTTCTTTCGTCGTATATGCAAGCTTTTGTACTTTGGAATCAAGCCTGTCTTTGTGTTCGATGGAGGCGCACCACTATTGAAAAGGGAGACTGTTCGAGGAAGGGCAAGAAGGAGAGAAGGTAGGAGGGAAGATGCTGTGCGGACAGCTGGAAAGCTTTTGGGAATGCAGATGCAGAGGGCTGCTGAGGAGGAAGAAAAGACGAGAAGAGCTGAGAGGGACAGGACATCGGACGAGGAAGAATTGCCACCAGAAGAAGAAATGGTGTATGTTGATGAATTGGGGATGACCAGCAAGGAGCGTCACCAGAACCGGCTGTTCAAAAAGAAAGATCAATACCATCTGCCAGCTTTGGATGTGAGTATCGAATCTCTGGGGGCGCCTAACGATCCAAGAATCATGAGTCAAGCAGAGTTGGAGGAGTATGCTAGGCAGTTTCACAGTGGGGAAGATATCAACGTCTACGACTTCAGCAAAATCGATTTCGAAAGTCCATTCTTTTTGAGCTTGCCGGCAAGCGATCGATACAACATTCTTAATGCGGCGAGGTTGAGGAGTCGGCTTCGCATGGGATATTCGAAAGAGCAGCTTGATGACATGTTTCCGGACAGGATGGCTTTCTCGCGGTTTCAGATTGAACGAGTTCGAGAAAGGAACGAGCTGACCCAACGATTGATGCATGTGAATGGAATGGCTGAGGATTTCCTTGATCAAGGTGGAAGGATTGCCGGCGAGAAGGGGAAAGAATACGTGCTTGTGAAAAATGAAGGGGTTGAAGGTGGTTGGGCATTGGGTGTGGTCTCGAACAAAGGGGGCCAGGAAGCCAATGCGATCAACGTGGATGAGGAGGCGAAGGATGAGAGCGATGTGGATCAAGATGACGAGGAAGACTTCGAGGATGTCGCGATTGAAGGACTCAACAGGCTTCCAAAGAGGTGGGCCAGGAAGAGGACAGAAGTTGATTATAATCCAGATTATAAAGACGCAGCCGAAGAAATCGCACAGAAACGACGATCAATATACGAAGCCCGGCAAAAGGCAGCCGAAAGACGGCCGGTGCAACCACATCCGTACGCTCAACCTGAAAATGAAGAACTGTTTGTTGGACAAGATAATCCCAATAAGTCAGACGAGGACGTAGACGATCTGTTTGAAGACGTGGACATGGAACAAGGTGAAGACGACGATGACTTGCAACGAGCTATTCAAATGTCATTGCATAAATCTGACCACGATGCTTCAGCGTTTGGTGATGCGCAGACTGACTTGTTCACCGCAGAAAATCGAAAAAATGGTCGCGTCGTTGTTAAGAATGTCAACCAGCGAGCTCATCAAAATATGAATGGAGTTCAGCTGGCCAACGGTGATGAGGAGGACGAGGACGGTTGGTTTGACCTACAAGCAGCCTTGACTGAGTCGAGAAAATCTAAGCATCAGTCGAGAAGCCGTGCAGGTTTCAAATCCCCACCCTCTGTTACGCCCAGAGAGAAGACATTTAACGGGCCACTGCCATTCGAATCGTTGAACTTGGGGCAATCCCTGCTGGGTAAGAAGAAAGCCGAGAAAATCGCGCAGGATCAGGCAGGAGGATTCGACAAGGATAGTGATCGCCAGAATATCAAGTCTGTGCCATTGCCTTCCTGGTTCGACGCGAAAGATTGGACTAATGCTGTTGAGCGAGGTGCTGAGCTGGACACAGATGATAATGATTATCATGCTACTTTTGGCCTGGAGGACATTGACAAGCGGGAAGCTTTGATGCGTCACGACACACTGGATTTTATTGATGTTGATGAGCCTTCGCAGTCGAAAATAACAGATCAGATCGTGGTCGAGCTGTCCGACGATGAGGAGGTGGTAAGGGATGTCGACACGAGTGACGAAGCGCTTGAACAAAAGCGACAGAAATCACAAGAGCCACCAGACCCTATGAACGATGAAAGTCCAACCCTTGCCCATGAGTCTTATCAAGAACAACCAACGTCACCCGGCTTGCTGATGGACGATGTAGCGGACATCGCACAAGCTCGTCCTCCAATAATCAGCGTCCCTGATCACCTTCCTGAGGCTCCGGCTGACAAGGACTCGAATTTACCTGTTGATTCAGTCATTGAAGAGCAGGTTGAGTGGAGAAAGTCAGACGAGGAAAATGATGGCGCGGCCAAAGTATTGGATCAGGAGTCACAAGGCCCAGACACGAGAAGCACGACATCGGAGGTTGAGCAGAGTTTTGGAAGTGGGATGCAAGAAGTGGAAGAGGTCGGGGACGATTTTGAGGATGTGGAACTTTCCACACGACCAACTTTGCTGCGAGAGGAAACCAGCGGCTTGAACGCCGCGGATATCTCTCTGGCAAACCAATTTATAATAGCAGAAGACGGACAAGATCTTGTTCAGGCCAATGCAGCAGGGGACCAAGAAGAGCATTTCTCAGAGTCCGACGAGGAGCTAATGCGCCAGATGGTCATCGAAGCAGAAGAACATGCCCGATTCGCTTCCACTTTGAACAACACTCGCACTCCTGCGGATGCAGCTCGTGACTACGAGAAAGAATTGAAACAGCTCCGAAATCAGCAGAAAAAGGACAGACGTGATGCTGACGAGGTAACTCAAGTAATGGTTCAAGAATGTCAAGCTCTTCTTCGTCTTTTTGGTCTTCCCTATATCACGGCGCCAATGGAAGCAGAAGCACAATGCGCAGAGCTTGTCAATCTGGGCTTGGTTGATGGAATTGTGACTGATGATTCTGATATTTTCCTCTTTGGTGGTACGCGAGTCTACAAGAACATGTTTAATGCAGCCAAATTTGTGGAGTGCTATCTCACCACCGACCTCGAGAAGGAGTACGCTCTTGACCGCAGGAAGCTAATTAGCTTTGCCCACCTCCTTGGTAGCGATTACACTGAGGGTATCCCAGGAATCGGGCCTGTGACAGCCCTCGAGATCCTGACGGATTTTGACACCCTCGAAGAATTCCGCGACTGGTCCGCTAAGATTCAAATGGGCCAGCTGGACGGTAATATCACCACGCCATTCCGCAAGAAGTTCAGGAAACAAGCACAGAAGACGTTCCTCCCTCCCGCTTTCCCCGACACCAGAGTGGATCATGCATACCTCCATCCCGAAGTTGACTCAGACCCCTCTGGTTTTGAATGGGGTGTGCCTGACCTGGACGCTCTGAGAGCCTATTTGATGGCGACTATTGGCTGGAGTCAAGAGCGAACGGACGAGGTACTTGTTCCAGTCATTCGAGATATGAACAAGCGTGGGGTGGAAGGGACACAGGCGAATATCACAAGGTTCTTTGGTGGCGGCGTTGGTTTGGGTGGGAAAGAAGCAGGCGCACCAAGAAATAGGGGCGTGAAGAGTGGGAGGATGGAAAAGGCATTCGGGCGACTGAAGAATGTAGCAGAGAAGAAGCGTTCTGATGTTGTTCAGATCGAGGCAGCTGACCTGAATGAAGATCTCCATCTTGAGGCTGCCACAGCTAACGGGGGAAGGCGGCTTAGAGCCAAGAAGAATTCTAAAGACAAGAATAGTGCAATGCTCGCCGAGGATGGTGTTTCTGGTGATGAGAGTGATCCTGGCATAGAGAATGTTGCTAAGAAGAAAAGGAGGAAAAGGAAGCGCGTCGATTGAGTAGTGTCCAAATACATGACCAGCGTCGGCTCAAGCACTAAACGTATCACCACCCTGATCCAACCAGTTGCGCTCCTCGTCCGTCATCTCCCTCCCGAGCCACTTATTCCTGTGGGGATACCTGCCAAACTTATCTAGTATATCGGCGTGCCTCTTCTCGAAGCTCAACGTCTGTCCTACGTATTGAGCAGCCTTCTCGTCTCCTTTGGCTTCCAATCCTGACTTTAAGTCGCCCATCTCCTGGCTAAGAAGCTGGTGATCGGCGAGCGATTCTGAGTGCATCAGTGGCATGTAGAACCATGTTCGTTGCAAAGCGGACATGGCATATCGCTCGTGTTTGTCTAGCTGCTGTTTGTGGATTGCGTAGAACAGAGCACGCGCGATCCGATCATAATGTCCATATATCAGTGCTTGGTCGCTACGGAATATGTTGCGTGGGATTTGATCAAGGAGCAGCGTCAGGCCAAGAGCTGATTCAGGATCTTTAACCTTGTTCTGATAGAGTTGTCCTATGAACGGTGCTGCAATTTCTGGGTAGTTGCTTCGATCTGCGTCAGCGTCTTTGAATTCTGGCAACACAAATTTCGCTGGCGAAATTGAACTTAGTGCTTCGTTGAATCTCGAATGGCATTCTTTGTCGAATGAAGCCTTGTCACTTTCTGTGGCTCCCACGCCAAACCAGCGCATTGCAAGCTGCTCGCTCGGGCCAGTCGCTCCCTCTGACAAGCCATCAAACCATAACTTCAGGAGGCTGTGGTAGAGAGTAGGGTTGAAGAGCCGAGCCTCGAGCGAAAATGTCTGGAACGAAGGCATGGTTGTATCTGAGATGGATTTCGGTTCGTAATTGTAAATCCGATAGATGAGAGCAAAGATGTGTAGTGATCCTAGCAACTTCACCACTGAGAATACTCTTTTAAGAAGGTCTGTTACAGCGATCTTTGTCCGGGTTTGGTCTCAGTCAAAACCTGACGCCAATCTGGGAATTACACTAACACTCAGGAAGTACAGTGGTGAAGAAGACGGCAGCCTGTCAAATGTTAGGGCTCAACTGGTTAAGGGAAGTGCAGTGAACAATACTAAGATGTCTTCAACTTAGGTATAAGCTGATAACATGAGTTGACTACGAAGACTATGAAAGTATCTGGGAAACGAGCGTGCTTATATAGACTAGGAGATTTGTGCTTACAAGTGCTCATAACGGAACACCTTGTAGTATTGCCTATGCAGAGACGTCCTTGAGCGTTGCTTATGCAGAGACGTTCTTGAGCATTGTTCCTAAGTGCTTATGCTAGAGCACCTTTAAATATTACATTAGAGGGTACTAATCTTATAAGTAGTTTAAGGTCTTTTAGGCTTATCTAAGTCTATTATAGCTTTTTTATAAAATATTAAATAATCTCTTAATACTTATTTATATTTATTATATTTATATATTATAATATTATTTTTTTCTTTTATTA